TTTTTTTCTTCTTCTTTTTTTTCCCCCTGATACCGTATATCGTAGCACGTCCAGCACCGTACGCTTTAGCCAAATTAATGAGTTCTTCAACTTTGTCAAGTTTCCTAATTATTTCCGCTTTAGCACCTAGGTTAAAATTTTATGTTTACGTTTGTCAGAACTGCACATCCTCAGCACACATTAAATCACCACTGTATGAAAATTACTGTACAGGAATGTAAAGCGTAAGATTTGAGGTTTTCACGGCGGTGGCTATGAAGAATGCCGCCTTCTGGAATGTGGCCCCGTGTAGGTATTGTGTCAACCGACGTTTCGGAGAAATGTGTATTATGGAAGAACTGAAACACTGTGGTAGTGAGGCTCTAAGCAAATCAGTTTATGGAGCTCGACTTAACACAAGTCAGACTCTACTGCCTATACAACCGTGCACAAAATCACGGACGCCTGTCTGGCTCCTGATGCCGGATTGCTGGACGTGTCGGACTAGCGCACTGCCGGATTACCGAGATTGTACTGTACCCTGCACAGCAGAAGAAATTATGTTGGAAGCTTTCAGAGTTGGGAGATTCTACAGAAAAGTAATAATCGTTGAATATTAAACTTCAGAACTATGAAAATTACACCTGCACCTTGTATTCCTCTTATATTTCATGTGGTCAGAAATACATAGATATTAAATTCCTGCTCTATGACTATGAAAGTGGATGTATGTTTAAAGGGAGGGTTGTGTTCCGTGAAGATGCCTGTCTCGTGCTACAGAGTCGAAACAGTCGTGTAGAATTGAATTACAATGCTGATATTAAGTGGTAAATAGCAATAAATGAAACCTGTTTCAAATTAATACGGTAAAAATTTGCTTTCGTTTTGTTTGATAAATAATCCCAAATTCGCAGTAGAAATTTCATTGAATCCTTAGACTTGCGACACTAAGCATTGTGCAGACTCTACGTGTCAGAACCAAAAATTACAGCTGTCAAGACCTAACCGTTTTCAGTTATTGACTGAAGCACACTGACTAGAAAGTATTTACTGGTGTATGATTTCAGTACTTCGAACTTGGATGGGGCACTTGGTAGCGTAGTTGGTCGAGGCAATGTTCTACAAGCTGGGAGGTCGCGGGTTCAATTTCCAACGAAGTCACTGAATTTTTCAGTTGACCTAATCCTTCCAGCCATATTATGGCCCTGGGGTCGTCTCAGCCTCTAACAGAAATGAGTAGCACGAATTTTCCTGAGGGTAAAAGGCAGCCTGCACATAAGGCTGACAACCTCAGTCATCTGAGAGTCAGTTGTCTAGAAAACGTGGGAGCCTCGACCTCTCATAAACCTATGGGCCTCCGCGCCCTGTTACATGGATAGTTTTACACTTTTTTACCTGTTACTGCAAACTTGGATAAATCCCGTACAGTATCCTACATTATATCTCATATTGCTGAACGGCGTACAGTTCTTCCAAACTCAAGAACTTATAGCTGATTCTTCTAACTGCACGGTTACTCAGTCCATTCTGGATAAAAAGTCATACTTTATGAGGTGTCTTGTTATTTTCTGCCATTTAACATTCGATATCTTTCATCTGTTAAAAATTTTTCCAATGAAATATATAATCGTATTTAATAATGTTTAATTTAATGACGCTGACGATCGGTCAGACTACATTGCGCAGAACGAGTAGAACGACTAATGGTCAGTGCAGTCTAAAGGTTGGCAAAAGAAGCGTCCGTGGTCTAATATAATTTTGTGGATAATATGAGAAAAAAACACAAAAAATCCGCAGTTAATATTTCCTGTCTCCGTACCCAGATTTGACCCCTGGTTTTCCTGTAAACGAAGCAGGAATAGTATCTACTCACTCACAACTTTTGGCCTTCTAGGAAAGCCACAAATTTTAAAG